ACAGACAGGGGATCAACGGAGACCTATCACGCAGTTCTAAAAACAGCCTGCACTTCATGCTTCCCCCGGTTTCCTTTGCTCCATATTCTTCCTTATGTGACTATGGTTTGTAAACTAAATTATGTGCATTTATTGCTACCAAATTAACAAATATTTTCCATTCATTCTTGCAGTAAGTCTGGCCGGTGCATCCCTGGGCCTTGCCACAGGTCCATATCCCAGCTTCTCTGCCTGCTCTCAGCTCCAGGGGCACGGTGGCTGCTGCTGAGGAGCTCTTATGCCCTTCAAGAAACAGTGAGAAAATGATTAAAAGCTTCTGTGCCCAAGGATGGCCTCCATGTCCCAGGCACTGTGTTGGGCATTGAACAACGTGAGTCTTCACAGCAGCCCTGTGAGCCGGGGTGTTGTGACACCAGTGGATCACAAGCTCCTAGAGGGCAGGGAATTTGCTTTGCTCACTGGTGCATCCCCTGTGCCTACGAGGGTGTGCCATCAGTGTCTGCTGCATGGATTTGCTCGCCTACCCGAGAGAGGCTGTCAGCACCCCCACAGGGCCTCCTAGTCATGTGGCACCCATGAAGTCACCCTACAGAAGCTGCAGTGACAATGGTGTGCAGCCTCCAGCTTCAGCTCCTTCTTCGTCGCCAAGGTTCCCCTCCACACACACACACCCAACAGTTTAGAAAGCCCCTTGTCACAGGCCAGGTTCCCTGGGAAGTGCACTCTGAGGTGAAGCAGAGCCTGCAACCTGTTGCTTAGGGACTGGTCTTGGGACAGACACCTGTGGAAGGAAAGAAATGCAAGGCTGCGCGGAAGGAGAGGCCAAGGGCTGTGGCTGAGGCGGGGGACAGAAGTCCATGGGAGTCCACACGGCAGCCTCACCTGCCTCGAGGGCACCCACAGTCAAACAGGTCAAGTGGGTGTCCACTCCAATGCCTGGGCGCTTCAGGGAACACTCATCTTCGGACTCAAAGGGAGTGTTCGGGTCATGATGAAAGTGGAGACAATTATCCTGCTAAAGAGCTGTGAGCACATGAGGCGGAGAAGCTCTGAGCCACGCTGAGACAGGAAATGAGGACCAGAGGAGTGGTGAAGGGGTGCGGAGCAGGTGAGATGAGCTGGTGCCCTGAGAACGTCCTGACCTCTCCCCTTCACAGGACCAGGACCAGGACCAGGCAGCCCCACCTCATTCGCTGGCTCATTCTCAAAGCATTTTCTATGCTGGGCTCTGGAGATACTGGCTGAAGACCCTCAGTTTATCTAGACCTCTCTGACAAAGGGGCACATGTATGTGGGAGGGAGAGGAAAGGAAAGACCCTAGAAGGGTCACACACCTGTCACACTGAACGGCATGGTAGAGATGAACAAGACTCACTGAAGGCAAAACACCAGCCAGGTCACGGGCACGCCCACACCACCCCCGCACCCCCTCACTCCGCCCCAACCTTTTAAAAAAATTATGGAAACATATGTAACATAAACCCAGCCATTTTAAGTCTATAGTTCAGTAGCATTAAGGACATTCACAACGTTGTACATTACCATTAGCTAATTCTACAACTTCATCATCACCCTGAAAGGATTAAGCAGTCACTTTCCATTCTCTCAACCCAGCCCAACAACCATGAACCTGCTCTCTCCATGGATTTGCCTGTTGTGGACATTCCACATAAATGGAATCATGGAATATGTGGCCTCTGGTGTCTGGTTTAACTTAGCCTACTGTTTTCAAGGTTTACCCAGGTTGTAGCATGTATCAACTTCATTCTTTTTTATGGCTGAATAATATTCCATTGTGTGGATGTAAATTTTGTGTATCCATCCATTGGACATTTGGGTTGTTTCCACCTTTTGTCTACTGTGAATAGTGCTGCTATGAATATTCACATACAAGCTGTTGTTTAAATACCTCTTTTCAGTTCCCTGGGGCATATGCGTTAAGAGTGGACGTGCTGGGTTCCATGGCCATTCTACTCTGAACTTATTGAGGAGCCACTCCCCCTTCTTTTTATAGCTTTTCATAGAACCACCGGGCTGGAAGGGATCACAAAAGTGACCTAGAACACTGTTGCTCAAACTTTTGGATTTCACACACCAGTAAAACTAAAACTATCATCACCACACTCAGCCTCTCCCAAAGTAGGAGGGACTTGTGTTGGAATGAAGGCCAGCATGTAAAATGGAAATATCCAGTGTCAAACTCATGGCCTCGTTCTTGCTTTTCTCATTATCACCTCCACCTGGTACTGGTGCGTGGGGACCAGTGACCTGGTCCAATCCCCAGCCCAAGTCTGCATCCCTTCTCTAGCTGCCCCGGCACAGGCTGGCCTAGCTTCTGTTCCTGCCTGAAGAATGCTCCCGCCCCCGGGCAGCTCAGATCCCTGGAACGTTCTTTCTTGTGGAGTGCTAGTCCTGTGCCCATGGCCTCCCCAGACCCTTGCCCCACCCTCCAGGGACCCCCAGCTTCCCCCCATCACCTTCCTAAGGGCCCCTAGGGCTAAGCTACTGGGACCGGGGAAGCATAAACAAGGCAGTCCCAACTTGCAAGAATTCTTACTATTCTTGTGAGACAGGGTCTCGTTCTGTCACCCAGGCTGGAGTGCAGTGGTGTGATCATAGCTTACTGCAACCCTGAACTCCTGGCCTCAAGTGATCCTTCTGCCTCGGCCTCCTAAAGTGTTGGGATTATAGGCAGGAGCCGCCGTGCCATGCCACTTGTGAGAATTCCTAAAAGAAACAGAGAATCACCAAGCTATTTATAGCTTTTAGAAGCCCTCCTCTCCAAATCGTGAACAAGTTGCAGAGGCTAAACAACAGGTTTCGTTTATTTGTCTTGTTGGCTGGGCTTATTCAAATTCCACGTTCCCTTCTGTGCTGACGACAGGCAGCAAGACACTAGGGAGTGTGAGGCCTGCACTCAGACCAGACTGTCCCTTGTCAGCTGTGTGACCTCGGCAAAGTTGGTTAGTATCTGTGTGCCACAGTCACCACACTGACAGAAAGAGGAGTTTCAGGATGCCTCACAGGGTTCCTGTGAAGATGAGGCAAGGTGACTTCTAGAAGCTGCGCCTGGTGGCCCCAGGGGCTCGCTCCATAGCAGCCATGACAGGCAGGCATTTGGGCAGTGTTTTACACCTTGGATGAATGCAGTCCAAGTGGGAAGATAACTTCACAACATTTAATACACACAGGCCGACAAACAATAATCTTTCAAAGAATTGAGTCCCTGCATAAACATAACAATAAAATAATAAAAAGTGTCTATGGTAAGGAAAATGGAAACTCTCTTGGGCAGAAACTAAAATGACATTCTAGACTCCTGGCAGTGGATACAGTGGCCCTAGTGAGGGCCCTATAGGGAGGGGAAGGCCAAACCCACTCCAGCCACCTGGAGGTAGAGACAGAGTCTCCCTGACAAGGATGGCCATGCCCTGTGTCTCTGCCCTGGAGAAGGCTCCAGCAGGAAATGGACACCTGGGAGCGTCCCTATGCTGATGCGAGATGGCTCCACTCTGCTGGACAGGGCCCCAAGTTGGTGGGGGTCCTGGAGGAAAGGGAGTTCTCAAGGGCAGGGAGATGTGGTCTCAGCCTTAGGAAGGAAGTGCGGTGCCAGGCAGGAGAGCTGAGGACAACGAACTGGGCTTTGTGCTCGAGCTCACTACCTGTGATTCTGTGTAGATTTCCCTTCTGTCATTCCCAAGCTTTGGCAACAACTGTTATTTTTGGGACTGGAATCTCCGCTGGGGGGCTGAAATTAAGGCAGGGACTAAATCCACTCAGGCTGCATGTTAAGGAGGAGCAGAGCACCCTGAGGCCAGAGGACCCACCTCACTCAGGGAGATTCCTTCTGCAGGCCAGGCCTGCAAAATTTGGTATCAGCTTTATTAGGGAAAATATCAGGTCTCTTGACACGTTGAACAGGAACTGCTGTTTAATAAGACACGATTAACTTGCTAGGAATGGACAAAGACAGCGACAGGAGAGTGCTTCACAGCACCTCCTGCTGATGGCACCTTCATTCTGGCCGCAGAATTCTCCCAGGAAGGGTCCCGGGCTCTTCAGGAGGCATTTACTTGGAAGCACAGCTCAGCGTATCTGTCCAAAGTTGTCCAGCCTCCAGCCTGGCCCATGTCTTCAGGCAGCTCCGAGGCAAGAGCAAAAGAGACGGGTTCCCTGCTCCCTTTTTACCCGCTGGATCAGCTTCTACGACTTGGCCAAACTACCTTTCTTTCTGTCTGCCGTGCTGGGAATCCCACTGACAGCAAGACCCAGAGTCAGGCACATTTGGGGGACAGGTCCATTGGCCACTCCTCACTTCCGTGGGCTCCGATGCCAGCAGAGCCACGTCAGCAGCTGCTACCTCTTGCTGGAGGGAGTTTCTTCTGGCCTCACCCACCCAGCCATGGCTACGTCAGGGCAGAAGGGAGAGAAGAAAGAAGAGAGATGAGATGAAAGGATTTAAAATGTGCAACCATCTTTGAGGTTTCCCACATCTGCACTGCTCCACAGTGTGAAAAGGGCTTTCACTTTCACCTGATCCGTGGGGGCTGCTATCCCCTTGTAACCAAAAGGGAAACTGAGACTCAAAGGGAGTAAGAAACATGCTCAACGTCACGCAGCGCTAGGTCTGACTACGTCCAGAGCTCCTTCCAGGGTAACAGGTTGCTTCTACTCATTTCAAAGGACCAAAACCAGAAAAACACGCACCCAACTGACACCTCCTCCCTGACGATCTAGAACTTACACATTACGTGTTGCCTTTGCACATGACCCAGTTGGGATGCCCTTTCTCTTTCCTGCCTAAACCTGCCCTTCGAGGCCCCACTCCAGCTCTCTCCTCTGGGGTCTGCCCAGGTAGAGTCTGAGCCATCATCGATGACTTTCCCTGAGCCATATACCCAACACGCTTCATCACCACACCATCTCACAGACGTGCTTGTCTCCTCTAAGATACTATGGGGTTCCCTTGAGGGCAGAGAAGTCCTTTTTCATCTTTGGAGGCAAAGCATACGAGTGGGGCTGGCACAGGGTAGATGCTCAGTAAATGTTTGGTAACCAAAAGAATTAAAAAGTAAACACTCTCCTCACAAAACCAGCTGGCCTCCATACAATTTTGCGGCGCTGAACTAGAGGCAGGAGCCCTCTGTGGCCAGTGGGAACTTGGACATCCAGTACCCAGGATATGCCAGCAAGACACTGCCTGGGTGCTGGGAAACAATGCCCTCCACCCTACAGGAGAGCTCAGGGTGGAGTCTGAGCTCAATGCCCTCAAGGCTGGAGAGCTTTAGGAACAGGGACCCTGCCATCTCAAAGCAGGCCCCGTCCCGACGTCCCACTGCCAAGCAGACCACCTCTGCAGAGAGCTGCTGGGGACAAAAAGGTGACCACCAACGGCCCTGACCCACTTCCAGGGCTGCGAGGCCTCTTGCCTGCTGCTGTTCCAGTCAAAGCGGGGCTTCCCCAATGGTGTCCAAGGAATTCCAGTCTTGCAAAAGCACCTTGGAGAAGTGATGAGAGTAATGTGGGAGACGCTACGAGCTTCTTGGTCCTGTGAAGAGGCCTGACACGTGTGGGCATGCTGAAGGTTATGAGAGGCCTGCAGCAAAGATGATCACATAGCTCGCTTTAACTTAGTGTCTGCCAAACCTACTTGACAGGGAACCTCATCCCACTTTCACATACGCACCCTACTTTTCTTTATGGAAAACCTATTAACATCCTGTGGAACTAGGGTTCCAAGGAGCACACTTTTGGGAAATGCTAGTGAAGGTCACCGAGCAAGGGAGGTGCTTCTTGTGGGGGGGGGGCGGTGCAGCCTCCTGGAGGCAGGCTGGGGACACATGTGGGAAGGGAAGGGGGTGATCAAGGACCAAAAATCACAAAAATAAGTACCCAAACGACCCCTCCTCCCTGACGATCTATAGCCTGCATGCTCTGTGATGCCTGCGCACATGTCCCCGCTGGGGTGCCCTTTCTCTTCCCTATCATCCGCATCTAAACATGCCCAGAAAGGGTGCCAGGGACCTCTTGTGAACCAGCACACAAACTTCCTAGGAGGAAAAGCCTTGGACACTTCAGTCCAGTGAAAAAGAAAAGAGAAGCATTGTCTGGAGCCTCTGCTGTCCTGTCTGCAAAACGGGAATAGCCCCGCTCCATCCAGGGTCATCCACTGAGTTCATGGAGGTCTACATTTGTGGGAAGGTGACCCCCCGGCACAGCTGTGTATCATTGGTGTTCAATCAGACTTACTGAGTGGAAGCTATACCAGTATACAGTTATGAAAAAAACAGCACCACAGCAAAAAGCAGGCACAAAACCTCAAAGTACATAACGTCAGGGGCCATGAATTTCAGAGGCAAACAATTCTAGGCCTACTGTTAACTCCTGAAGCCATCAGTAAATTAAAACAAGAATCTGGAGTGCTTCTAGCTCCGAGAGTCTATAGGAGTTAGTGGAAAAGGCACAGGCTTGCAAGCCCACCAGGTCCAGTTCTGAGCCCAGATCTGCTCCTTCTGGGCTGTTTAACTGGCAAGCAGCTTCCCTCTCCTAAGCATCCAGTTCCCAATGTGCGAGATGAGGTTACACGATGCCCCCTCCAGGGTGGCCATGAGGATGGAATGACAAAGATAAAGCTGCAGCACACAGTAGGGGACGAATGAGTTGTCTCCTTAAAAAGGCTGGAACATGAGAAACCTTTGTACAGGTGTCTGTCAGTAACAGCTAAATGAAATACTTTGTCTTCAGTCCTGTGGAAAGTTGGCTTCTGTGGGTGGAAGGCTGAGAGGATTTAGAGGAAAAACACCCACTATGAGGGCAGCGGAAGAAAACGACGAGGCTCTGGGCAGTAAGGTAATGACATCCTCTGAAAGCCAGCATAGGGGAGTGGGCTTTCATGGCTGGGGGACAGATGAGAGATGGCACCTCCCAAGGAGACCAATTTGTGGCTCAGCACTGCTCAGGGTAGAGATTAGAATTCTGTGCAGACCCAGCACTTTGGGCACACTGGTTCTAAGCTCCAAATAAGAGGCCATTGAGCTGCATCTGAACTTTGAACCTGAGTCCAGAGCACAAGGTCTGCCCACTCTACCATGCTGCTTCTCAATGTCGGGACCATCTATTTACAGGTGTTCTCTTGCCCGTTGAGAGCCTGAAGGCTCTGGATGGTGTCTGCACACTCGGCACCTGGTATCTAACATAAATGCAACAAGCACTGGCTGAATTAGTCACTCACTGGAAAATATTTCAGAAAGCCACCAGGTTTTAAAAGTCAGGGCCCCTCTAATTTAGTATAATACGATATGGTAGGAAACAACACAAGACAATTCCCTTTTGAGGAACACAGCATTGACAGGATGTAGAAAAAATTCCAAATTTTCACTTCTTTGCCTAGAACCTTTGAGCACCAGAGGACTTTCATGACATGACCCATTAGTCTTCTGCTTCCACTTTCAGTGCAGAAAGCCCTGCAGCGATACGGGTGAGCACTGTGGAGTACCAGAGCATCATCTGGTCTGACCCTCCACTTTGCAGATAAGGAAACTGAAAGCTAGGAAGAAGAAAGGATCCACACAGCAGGCCTCCACTTCTTTCCTTCTAGAATAGACTGTCTTTGCAATAAAGAAAAACGCGTTTGACATACACATCTTGAACGCATGCTGTAAGCTGTATGCAGCAGGGGCAGTGGAATGCTAGAGCAGTCACACACATAGCACTGAGGGACCCAGAGGCTGAAAGGGGGTCAAAAAAGACTCCATCTGACAGGTGACTTGGACCAGGAGGCACAAGTTAGAAGTTTTAAGGGACGATGTGGCAGGAGGGCTAACCTCTCACCATAATACATACCCCCCATCTAAGTCAAAAGTTGTTGCTGGGAAGCCACTATGTGGAGACTGCACATCCCGGCCTTCTCTGCATCCAGGTGGGGTCACATGACTAACAGCAGCCAAGGGGATGTGAGCAGGAGTGATGTGTGTCGGTTAAGAGCAAAGCAGGTAAGAAGCAGCCATGCCTTCTCCATCGTCCCTTTCCCTTGCTGCCAGCCAGAAGCAAACTCTGAGGCTCCCAGGGAGGGCGGAGCACAGGATGAAAGGAGTTGAGTGCCTGCATCACTGAGTGAACCAACCTGCCAACCAGAAGCACCCCCACTGGACTGTTACATGGGAATCTGTCTCTGTGTGTTGAAGTTCGTTGCAGCAACAAGTACTACCAACGAATGCAGTGGACGTGAAGCAGGCATCCCGAACTAAGGGAACAACATGACTAAGGAACAGCAGTGTGACGGGGCAGGGCTGGGGCTGTGGCCATGTGAAGGGGTCCCGGGATTCAGAGAGCTCACGCTGGTGGCTGCGGGAAGGAAGATCACGCACAGGGGCTGTTGCCAGGGGCCCTGGTGTTGCTGGCGCTGCTCTCAAAGGAAGAGTGAAAGTTGTGAATGGTTTCCTGTAAAATTTGTCTCTCGCGTCCCTGTGGAGGAAATTGAAAACAGACACAGAAAGTCTTATTAAACCTTTTAACCATTAATTCAATTGACACAGTGTTGTTAATGTTCAACTCATACTTGAAAAACCCATGGGCGTCTCGGGGAAAATAAATTACCTAATTGAAAGAGTACCGAGTTCAATAAAAACATACTGAGTCAGAATCTCCCCAGCACCCAACATCACAGCCTGTCAATGCTGCAGAGGCCCCGGGATGCAGGACCCCAAACCCCTGGACAGAGCGAGAGGCTGAGCCCAGGGCAAGACTGACTCTTCCCAAGTCGCATGGCCCAGATTTGAGGTCTCCTTTCCTGCGCCTCTGTGCATCCTTCCAGTCCTCAGATTTTCAGAAAATTCAACGGGAGCCCAGTTTCCTTCTGCTACAGGATAAGAGTTTAAACTGCCTTTGCTTCCCTTTGCCCAAAAGCTGCCAGATTTGTCTTCACAGAGATTCACTTCTCACTCTATTCCTACAACGCCCCCTGCCCCCTATACACACATTTTCAGATGAGAAAAGAGGGTGGATGTGAATGTTCCGTTAAGCCCAGAAAACATCATCACTGCATACCAGGCTCAGAGGCATCAATACTCAGAGATTAAGAACAGAGACTGGGTCCTAGCCAGAGCAACCAGACAGGAAGTCAAACTGTCGCTGTTTGCTGATGACATGATTGTTTACCTAGAAAACCCTAAAGACAGCTCCAGAAAGCTCCTAGAACTGATAAAAGAATTCAGCAAAGTTTCCGGACACAAAATTAATATACACAAATCAGTAGCTCTTCTATACAACACCGACCAAGCTGAGAATCGAATCAAGAACTCAACCCCTTTTATAATAGCTGCAAATAAATAAATAAATAAATAAATAAATAAAATACTTAGGAATATACCTAACCAAGGAGGTGAAAAACCTCTACAAGGAAAACTACAAAACACTGCTGAAATAAATCATAGATGACACAAACAAGTGGAAACATCCCATGCTCATGAATGGAAAGAATCAATACTGTGAAAATGCCCATACTGCCAAAAGCAATCTACAAATTCAATGCAATTCCCATCAAAATATCACCATCATTCTTCACAAAATTAGAAAAAACAATTCTAAAATTCATATGGAACTGAAAAAGAGCCCACATAGCCAAAGCAAGACTAAGCAAAAAGAACAAATCCGGAGGCATCACATTACCTGATTTCAAACTATACTATAAGGCCACAGTCACCAAAACAGCATGGTACTGGTATAAAAACAGGCACATAGACCAAAGGAACAGAATAGAGAACCCAGAAATAAACCCAAATACTTACAGCCAACTGATGTTTGACAAAGAAAACAAAAACATAAAGTGGGGAAAGGACACCCTTTTCAACCAATGGTGCTAGGATAACTGGCTAGCCACATGTAGGAGAATGAAACTAGATACTCAGCTCTCACCTTATTCAAAAATCAACTCAAGATGGATTAAGGATTTAAATCTAAGACCTGAAACTATAAAAATTCTAGAAGGTAACATTGGAAAAACCCTTCTACATGAAACCCTTAGGCAAGGATTTCATGACCAAGAACCCAAAAGCAAATGCAATAAAAACAAAGGTAAATTGCTGGGACTTAAACTAAAGAGCTTTTGCATGGCAAAAGGAACAGTCAGCAGAGTAAACAGACAACCCACAGAGTGGGAAAAAAATCTTCACAATCTATACATCTGACAAAGGACTAATATCCGTAATCTACAATGAACTCAACCAAATCAACAAGAAAAAACCAAACAATCCCATCAAAAAGTGGGCTAAGGACATGAATAGACAATTTTCAAAAGAAGATATGCAAATGGCCAACAAACACATGAAAAAATGCTCAACATCATTAATGATCAGGGAAATGTAAATCAGAACCACAATGTGATACCACCTTACTCCTGCAAGAATGGCCATAACAAAAAAAATAAAAAAACAGTAGATGCTGGCATGGAGGTAGTGAAAAGGGAACACTTTTACATTGCTGGTGGGAATATAAACTAGTACCACCACTATGGAAAACAGTATGGAGATTCCTTATAGAACTAAAAGTAGAACTACCATTTAATCCAGCAATCCCACCACTGGGTATCTACCCAGAGGAAAAGTAGCCATTATATGAAAAAGATACTTGCACACACACGTCTATAGCGGCACAATTCACAATTGCAAAATCGTGGAACCAACCCAAATGCCCATCAATCATTGAGTGGATAAAGAAACTGTGGGGGGTGTGTGTGTATATATGTATGTGTGTGTGTGTATATATATGTGTGTGTGTGTGTGTGTGTGTGTGTATATATATGGTGGAATACTACGCAGCCATAAAAAGGGATTAATTAATGGCATTTGCAGTGACCCGGATGAGACTGGAGACTATTATTCTAAGTGAAGTAACTCAGGACTGAAGTAACCAAACATCGTATGCTCTCACGTGTAAGTAGGAGCTAAGCTAGGAGAACACAAAGGCATTAAGAATGATACAATGGACTTTGGGGGATAGAGGGGGAAAGGATGGGAAGGGGGTGAGGGATAAAAGACTACATATAGGGTGCAGTGTACACTGCTTGGGTGATGGGTGCACCAAAATCTCACAAACCACCACTAAAGAACTTACTCATGTAACTAAACACCATCTGTTCCCCAATAATCTATGGAAATAAAAAATTAAAAACAACAACAACAACAACAAAGAACAGAGACTGAGCTGGGCATGGTGGCATGCACCTGTAATCCCAGCTACTTGGAGACTGAGGTGGGAGGATTGCTTGAGCCCAGGAGGTCAAGTCCAGCCTGGGCAACAGAGCGAGACCCTGTCACAGTCTAGGTTTAGAGCCCATTTCTCCCATTTGCTAGCAGGGTCACCCTGAGCAAGATACTTAATCTCCCTGGGCCTTGGTTTCCTCATCTACAAAACAGGGATGATAACAGTCCCTCAGGTGATGGCTACGGGATTGTCAGAAGGCCTCAGACACAAAGCTGTCCATTACAGCACCATTTATACAAAGTTTGAAAATCTGTATAAGCAACAGGTAGGAAATTTTTAAAAATTAATTTTAGCACATTTCCCCATCAGACCTTGTGTGGGTAGCTGGAGGCAGACAGGTCCTATCCTCAGAGGGCAACAGTAGATTAAACATATTTTTTAAAATTAATAAATATGGTCAAAATGTAAATTAAATTAAAAATATATCATCTCTGGCAGACTGTTCTCTACTAAGAGTGAAAAGGGGGGAAAATCCACTGAATGAGCCCAGACTTCAAGCTTTCTTTCATTTCATGGGCTCCCTATAGGCCAGAGGGGCCCCTCTCCAGACCCCCACACAGACACGTCTTGTGCTGATGAGGCCTCCTAGACTCAAGAGGACAGTAAGATTCTCCCTTCATCCCAACCCATCCAAACAATTTTAAATAAGCTGGAAAAATGCCCTCCAGATTCCATCAACACAATCCAAAGGCTGGAGGGTATGACAGAGCATTGGATGCCAGGTCAGAGCATCTGGAATCCCCACTCTATCACTGATTAGCGCCGGCATCCCAGGCCCTCCCCTTTTCCGCTAAGTATCTGTAAAATGGGGATAATGTGACCTGCCAGGGCTGCACTGAAGCTCACCCTGAGATAATGAATGGGGTGGCACTGTGCAAACTGCAGACGGCTAAAGTGTAAATGGAAGGGTTGACAACAATTTTATTATTAAACACCACCTTAGCCTTAATTGCCTGAGAAATGAGGTCAGGGCAAGACAGGGTTCCGGCCCTCGCTGCCTGCTAACCTTAGGAGGGAGCTGCAGATGATTAAAACCATAATTGTTTCCTGCATCTACAACTGATTGAAGATGATAATGATAATTGCCCTTTAAAAACCCCTGAGTTTCAAAGGACCTGCCTGATAACTCTCAAAAGGAAAAAAAAAAACAGCCATTAAATGTAGAAAAAAGGTTCACCTATCTAGTATTTCAAAAAATGCAAATTAAAACAAGGTACCTTTTTTTGCCTATCAAATTAATAAAGATTAAAAAACAAACTGATGTAATACTGGCAAAGCTGCAGTGAAATGAACAACAAACTCTCACACACTCACAGCCAGTGGAACTGTTCACTGGCTCTTTCCAGAAAGTTATTCAGATGTACATATACCTTGATTCTGCCTCTTTGATTCAGTAATTCCACTTTCAGACATCTACTGTGAGGGGATGATTAGAAGGCCTTAGACACAAAGCTGTCCATTGCAGCACCATTTATACAAAGTTTGAAAATCTACATAACCAACAGGTAGGAATTTTTTAAAAATTAATTTTAGCACATCTATGCAAATTTATATGAAAAAGAGTTCTTAATGACATGAGTAGCTGCATATATTTCATATTAAAGAAAGCAGGAGATAAAATTACAGACCCAAATTTATCTCAGTCATATTTTTAAAAAAATTTAAGGGTGTGGTGATGCGTGCTCATAATCCAAGCTACTGAAGAGACTGAGGTGGGAAGATCCTTTGAGGCCAGGAGTTTGAGGCCAGCCTGGGCAACACAGGAAGACCCCATCTCTTTAAAAAAGAAAAAACAAAGAAAAAGGACACAAAACACTGCAGAGTAATCTGCCCAAAGGTGAACAGTGTTGGCCTCTGAGCGATTGGATTGTGATTTCTTAAAGAAATTCTTTTCACCATTTTGGTACTGTGTAAATTTAATAAAATCATATGCACTGCACTGACAACCACAAAAAAAGGGCAACAGAAAGAAACAATTACTTAGAACCAACTAACTCCTCATTTCTGGTAAACCTCCAATATGTAACTCGTCCAAAACTAACAAACTAATGAGCAGACTCGAGCACACATTACAATTCCAGTACTGGGGTGGGTTCATCTGGAAGTGATATGGCTTGCAGGCTGAGAGTCCACAAGCTTTGCTAATATTACTATGCCTAATAAGACTTGCTGATGTTATTATATCATGAGCCAGGTGTTTGGTTAATACTCACTTAAAAAAAATTTTAGGCCGGCCGGGCGCGGTGGCTCAAGCCTGTAATCCCAGCACTTTGGGAGGCCGAGACGGGCGGATCACGAGGTCAGGAGATCGAGACCATCCTGGCTAACACGGTGAAACCCCGTCTCTACTAAAAAATACAAAAAAAACTAGCCGGGTGAGATGGCGGGCGCCTGTAGTCCCAGCTACTCGGGAGGCTGAGGCAGGAGAATGGCGTAAACCCGGGAGGCGGAGCTTGCAGTGAGCTGAGATCCGGCCACTGCACTCCAGCCTGGGCGACAGAGCAAGACTCCGTCTCAAAAAAAAAAAAAAAAAAAAAATTTTAGGCCAAAATGCTCAATCTTATTGATTGTGTAAAAAAATGCATTTTATATCACACCCTGTTTTCATGTAAACATATATAACTGAAACATTTTGTCCTTTCTATCTGCAAAAGCATGTTGCTATTTTCTATTCTATTTCCTAAAACGTGCTGCTCATGCCCCATTAAATGGATTCTAAAACCCCTCAGTGTGCTGTGGGCCACAGCTAGAAAGACACTGCAGGGAAGGAAAGCTGGGTCTCCCCATCTCATGTGTCCTGGTCTAGGCTCTCCAACGTGTACAGAGCACGAGAGCCATAATGGGTACTCTCTCTTGGTTGGCCAAGCTTGCATTGCAAAAGAAAAAGTATGAATGTTACAAAGAAAAGTTCATGCCCTATAGCAAAACCAAAGAGGCAGGAACCCTTGACGTCAAGGTCAGGCAAGTCCAGTCTAGAAGAGCCAAGGCCCAGAGCATCTGAAGGCTGTAAGCGCAGTGAACTGGCTCTTGGAAGCCACCTTTGGCCTGAGGAACTCTTTGCACATCTGAGAACCAGCACGCAGTTGCAGTGCTAACTTAGAATAATGCAGCAGAAGTTAAGTGTGCTTTTGTACTATTACATTTCTCCTAAACACGCCTTTTCTCGATGACTCATGATGATACACGGTCCTCACTTTCAGAGGACTTTATCTGGTACTGTATTTACTCTTGAATAACAGGGTCTTTCTCCAGACCTTTCTCCAGGTCTTTCTCGGCTCCTTCTCCTTGTACCTATTACTGTGTGGAACTGCCTGACTTTGCAGGGTGGATGCTGCCTGCTGGAGGGACATGGGTGGGACTGAGTGGTGCTCTTGGCCTGGCATGTCACAGGCACCTGGGCCTCTTGGTTGGGAGCTGGTGAGCTGGGCCCCTAAGTAGGACCACTAACAGCTGTCCCTTCTGCTTCTCCTGATGGGGCCTGTTTAGTATAGGATGCAGACTGTCATAGAACAGGGAATGGGGGGAAGGGGGGATGAATTTGAGAGGAAACTGAAAAAAGGCTCTAGTCTGTATAAACTTTAAGAACAATGTCCTCTATCAGGATGGGCTCAAGATATCACATCATTCACTCTGATGATGTCAGTTAAGTTTCCTAAGGTTTGCAAACTAGCCCAGTCTGTCTGCTTTTGGTGATCCTGGGCCAAGGAGGCCACAGTCACAGAGGGCAGAGGGGAGGTTCTGGAAGCATTAGCAGTTGCTATCTGGTGGCTCAGCTCCTGGCCTGTCCTCTCACTGGCCCTGCCTCCAGAGCCTTTTCTGTCCTTCTTCCTTAACTGGCTTAAGCTTGGATTTTCCCCACTCCATTCTTTCCTTGGTTCACACATCTGGCCTCTGGAGGCCAGGAGGAGAAAGGTTCCTCTAACGCCTGGGCCACAGCCCTTCACCGCCCCGCCATCCCTCAGCCACCTCTCCTCCCCAAAGGCCTTTCCCTTACTTGACGGCGTCATCCTTTACCACCTTGGGTGCCTTGCTCTGTCCCTTGGGCTTCCCCACATCTCATGTCTCTTGTTCTGTGCTCCAGTCATTCCTTTATTCTTCAAACACACTGTACACCTCACCACAGGGCCTTTGCACGTGTGCCTACCTCTGCCTGCTCTGCACTTTTCTACTGGTTTCCACTCTTGCTTCAGGTCTCAGCTGCCTTGCCACTCCCTCAGGGATATCTTCTCAGCCCTGACTCCAAGCCAGGAGCTCTCACAGCACCACCTGCCTCTCCTTTATGTGCTGTGGGTTAGTTACACCGAGGCAGCTGGAGTCCTTGGGTGAGTTCCTCAACTTCTCTGAGCCTTGGTTTCCTCATCTATAAACTGAAACTGACTTCAGCAGCTTTCGTAAGGATTAAATGAATGACTATAATGTATGACATGCTCAGAGCACAACGCGAGGCACAGAGTGATTCTGAATGGTCAATACCCACACGGTGCCTGAGACATAAAGGCTCTTTTTCATGACTAAATCGATGCCCCAGTCTTTAGAGATTGTTGTGGTTGATTCGCCTTCTGTGAGCCACCCTCAGGCTTCAGTTTCTTGGATGATGCCCTTCCTAAAGCCGAGATCTGCCTGCCTCTGACAACCTCCATACCTGCCTTACCCCCCTGCCCTCCCCGCTGACATCTAACAGCAAAGCAGAAGTGGTGCTGGTCTGGAAGTCAGGCATCACTGCCCAACTCTGAGCCTGGGCTTCCCTATATGTAAAGTGAGGTGGTCCAGGCCCATGCAACAACCAAGAAATGTTTAGAATCCGGCCATTTACAGAGGAGAAGTAACTAGTAAAGACTGGAGGAAAACTACTTGGCCTTGGGATGCCCAAAGCAATGCTAAGGGCATCCCTTTGAAGGATCACCTCGTAGCCTTCAGGCAGGAAATAGGAATGACGACAGTGACAACAAAAACCACCGCCTCCAATCCTGGCAGGGCTGAGAAGAGCTGCCTCTGCACAGCACAGTGCTGCAGAGAGGTGAAGAGAAAGACGCCAGGAAGCCTGGGTTTAGAGTCTGCCTCCACTGCCCACCACCGTGTGACCTGGGCACCATGCTCCCCTCCCTAGACAGTGCACCCTTGCCAGCCAGACGAAGTAAGTGTAAGGACACCGGCCTCCTTGGGCTGTCTCCAGGACTGATGAGGAAACATATGTAGTGATTTGTAGATGATAAATTACCATGTAAATATTTATTTGCTGCTGGTGCTATGTGTCTGTTCAATATTTCTGTGCATAGTCCAGCAACATAAAGAACCATAAAAGTGGCCATGCTCTCTGATATCTCTGCATACTGTAGAACACAGAGGGAGGGAGGGAGGGAGGGAGGGAGGGAGGGAGGGAGGGAGGGAGGAAGGAAGGAAGGAAGGAAGGAAGGAAGGAAGGAAGGAAGGAAGGAGGAAGGAAGGAAGGAAGGAGGAAGGAAGGAAGGAAGGAAGGAAGGAAGGAAGGAAGGAAGGAAGGAAGGAAGGAAGGGTAAAAAGGCAGAGATGTCCATTATGGCAATATTCATGATAACAAAATTCCAGGCATGAGACTATTGTCCAGCAAGTGGAAAGCTGTTAGGCAAAGTGTGAAAAAGCAGCAGGTAAACAGGTACTGCACATTGTTGCTTGGAAAAAAAAAAAAGCCACCCTATATTAAGAAAAAAAGCAGACAGCAAAGGAGTTCCAAAAACCCAACAGCAATTACAATGAAGCTTGCAAAGTCAGTGGTGATTTGTCTTTTTTATTTTTGTGGTTCTTTTTGTTTTTGGTGTGTGTGTGGCTCTGGGTGGGCGCAGGGTGGGAGCATTGATATTTTTAGCTTTAAAGCTGATGAGAAATTTAACATGAGACAAAAACGTGGGAAGCCGACAATAGTGACTGACGGCTGTCTGTGTGCCAGGAGCTCTGCTGAGCATTTTAGTCCTTGACACACCACCATCATCCCCACCCTACAGATGGGGACAGCGAGGCTCAGAGAGGTGTTCGCCTCACCCCACACAGTGAATAAGTGAAGGAACTGGGATTCAAACCCAAGCCAGCCTGACCCCAGGACCTGTCTGTGTCAAAGGCTCGAATGCTCTGCTTTCACAGCGCTCCCGAGGGCCACACCTAGCCCTGTGCATTGATATTAGCTAAGTGAAGATTTCAGCTCAATCTGGGGAGAAACTTTATGGGGGAAGAGGCCATGCTGGGAGGCAGTGAGTGCTTGCTCACTGTCAGATATGACAGAGGAGAGGAAGTAAGACCTTCTCCAGATCCCAGGACCCTGGTGAAGCTCTCAGATGTCTGAAACACGGAAATACAAGAAACGGAGAACAGTACCTTGCCTGCATTCAGTTCAGAAATCGCTGCCAGAATCTGCTGCCTGGACCCATCTGTCTTAATTCCCAGCTCCTTCAAGTCACCGTCAGTCAGTGTGAGGAACGCTTCCATGTCCACCTAGGGAGAGAGAGGGGATTCGCCACCATCTGCTGGATGCCAGATTCTTCCCAGCCACAACAGCAATCTCATGATTATGAGCTATGAGTGCTTATTAGTAGTAAACTGATGATGATTTACTACTTCTAAGTCCTGACTTTATCTTTAAAGCATTGTTGAAAACATTAAAAAAAAAAAAAAAAACAAACTCTCCTCAGATCTGGCTCTTGGATTTTCTGAACAGATGCATTTTAGGAAGACCCTTAAAATGAGCCAAGTAAGGAAAGTCTCTGAGATAGTCATCTGGGTGGCTACAACAGGAGAAATCCAAGACCTGCTATTAGAAAAGTTAACTGCAATGCTGCTGTACTTTTAACAACGTCGGATACTGTGCAAACGTATGGCAGTACTCACCTCGTCTCCCCCACCATGCACGAGACAGAGACAGACTGTGGAAAGACAGAGTGAAGAAATAAGCAGAAGCAATAAAGGAGAGAGGGCCATGGAGAATGAGAGCACAGCTCAGAATAAGGGCATCTCAAAACTACAAGCCCTGGTTTCTATGGGTGAGATCCTGATAGCTCTGTCAGCCCTGCCTGGCCCCTGGACAGGAAATCAAGCCCTCTGCTCCACTGGCTTCTGTTCCTCTACGGCAAGGTGGAGGGAAGGTCGGAAGGGGCTCCAATGAAGCAAGCACATCCATCACCCTGCATGTCAGACAACAACGGCCTCTGGCATAGGGGTCCACACCTGGCAGGATCCAATCCAGGTCCACTGGGAAGCCAGTCTCAGTGTTAGACCAGAGGAGGGCAGTGAGCACTATGTGTGCAAAGCACCTTCTGAGGATTTCAGATAGACTGAGTCATTTAACCCTCATGACATCAGCGGGGTAGATCACTATCCCCACTTTGGAGACAGGGAAACTGACACACAGAGTTTTTTTTTTTAGCATTCAATGTAACATGGCCAGTAAGTGGCAGGGCCTGGCTTTGAACCCTGGCAGAGGGCTCCAGCATCTTTGCCCTTCTCCACAATGCCACATCATTCAGCCGCAGATTCCCTGGCCTCCGTCATGGGCTTTTCCTGAGGGCAGCAGCTCTCTTGCTAACATGACTTCACTTCCCTAAGCATTAAGGCATTGGGTCCCCGGTCTGGGCCCCTCCCCCTGGGGAGATGCTGTTGCAGACAATGCTACAGCTTCACAAATCAGACTCCAACAACAGCGCTCATCTGGGAGATGGGACAGAGAACTGGCTGCCCACACCCACGTCTTCAGCCAGAGCTAAGCAGAAGGAGGCTGTGTTGCCCTGGAGACAGATAGGGTGCCAATTCCCATTCACTGCCGGGGGACCTGGGCAGGTGCCTTACCTCAGTTTCCCCACCGAAAAATTATAGTCCCACCATATAAATTACAGGGTGGATGCGAGATCTACAAAGAGAGTTTACAAACAGCTTTATGATCTACATTTACAAACTACAAGATACTATCACACTTTAGAGATATGCTATTGCCATTTAAAATAAAACTTGCATAACTTCTTGAAAATCCTCAGTCTTTCACTTTATAAGCAGGCTTTATTTTATATTCCCTCATACCTAACAAGATTAAAATTTTTTTTCTTTAAAACATTTGATTTATGTAGGGATAGAGATTTTCTTTCTGAAATTTTCCCTACTCCCCATCTTTCCTTTTCTCTGTTAACAGTCATTTTACTTTTCTGGATTAAAAACAAACAAAAACCTCGAACCAGGTTTGAGTCACTGGGGAAGAATCTGCTCCTTTAATCCATCCTTAGCCCTCCCTGAGATGCAGGCACCCCCACCCCTCTGGCAACAGTAAGCTCCTGGCATCTCTTGGGTGTTTTATAGCTCACGGAGTGCTGAGGGGCTGAATGGATGGGTGATGCCATTTTAATGGAAACCACCTGCCCCAGCCCTGCTGGACACGAGTCTCTCTCCACAATCCCAACCCCTAGCAGGGACCCCACATCCAGCCTGGCACCATGGCCAGTCCTCAGCGATTCTGACGTCCTCAGCACCTGCCCTCTTGGTGGGGGGCCCTCCACCTCCTAACTGGTCTTTCCCTCCCAGTTATTCTTCCCCTTCTGCCCTTCCAACCCCTGTCCACCTCCATACCAGAGGCTACAGACCTGTCCAGCCTGCATCTACCTCAAGCCCGTGGTGTACAGAAGCAAGTCCACGCTGTCCAGGCCCTGCCTGGTCAAGCTCCATTCCCTCCTCCTGATGGGCTGGCCTTGGCCCAGCCCCAGCCAGGCCAGAGTACCACAGGCTCCCTCAATGAATCCTGCTCCCTCTTCCCAGATGCCCTTCCAGGTCCGTTCCCCCTCTTTCTCCAAAGTTCAGCTTAGTTCTCAACCCAGGTCTTCTCTGGCCCTCATTTCATAGACCCCCTTCTCTGGGTTCCAGAGTATTCTGGGCATCTGCATTTCCCAGCACCCGGCTCTGGCAGGGGCAGGGTCTCAAGTACTTAGTGTGTGTTTGTTGACTGAATGAATGAATGACTGCATCAATCAATCAATCTTCTGCCTCTCCATCTGCACTGACCTTCCCAATTCTGACCTCCGTCAACCCTGGGAGATGCCAAACTCTCAGGGCTTATTCTAGGTGGAGAGCACCAAAGACGGAATTCCTCTCCTACAACTACTTGTGAAGGGGTAGCAGGAATGAGGCAGAAATATCCCAGTATCCTTTCAATATTCATGCCCTATTTTTTAATCAACAGAATCCCAATTTTTAGCCGGGCACATTTCCACACAGTTAAAACATATTTCTGAGTTTCTTTTGCAGATCAGTATTGTCAGGTGATAAACTTCTGGTAAATGAGATATAATAAAGACTGTGTGGGACTTTGGGGAAGTCTCTTTAAAAAGGAGGGAATGTGTCCTTTTTCAGTCTCCTTCCATCCTGCTGCCTGGAATGTGGATGTGATGGCTGGAGCTCCAGTAACTATATTGGACTTTGAGGATACAAGCCACATATACTAGTGGGGGTGGAGCAGAGAGCTAAAAGGGGCCAGATGACTCATCTCCAAACTTTCTGTGGGAAAAATCACCTTATTTTTTGTTTAAGGTACCATTATCTTGGTATTTTTCAATACACATAGTCAAATCCACCTTAATACAGGTAGAAAGATGAAAATTATTAGTCTGTCTTTAGCTTCAATGTGGTAAGGTAAGAACATGAATTAACTTCATTCCTCTTCCAAATTCTCACTGATTGACTGTAAGTGCATATTAATGGAGAGAATTGCTTACTGTTGGAAACTAGGGAAAAGTGCTATCTACATGCCAGATACTTCCAGGAGTTTCTGAAAGGGACTAAGAAGTACCCATGAAGCTGTGGTGACTGGGTCTGGTGGCAATCAGCAGGGTTAAAACCTCAGTCCTACTAAAGCCTCCAAGGAAAACACTGGGTTGTGGGTCCATATAGGGAGTGCACCCCTACAGTGTAACCAGCTCATATGTTGCCAGAGAGAAACTAAGTAAAATGAAGAGACACTGAGCTTGGCCCCCAGCAAGCACAGGCACCTGTGTCAAGTAGAGATGAGGACACTGCCTCAACTAACCTCACATGAACCTAACACACACAGAGGTCCTCAGCCAGTGGCTGCCAGCCCTCCCCATGGCACCGCCTCAGGCCCCAGCTCCCTCCCTGACCCCAGAGGCTGCAGAAACTTCTAGGTAAGTGAGTTATTAAAATTAGAGCGGCGTGGGGGCTCACGCCTGTAATCCCAGCACTCTGGGAGGCCGAGATGGGCGGATCACGAGGTCAGGAGATCGAGACTATCCTGGCTAACACAGTGAAACCCCATCTCTACTAAAAAATACAAAAAATTAGCCAGGCATAGTGGCGGGCGCCAGTACCAGCTATTCGGGAGGCTGAGGCAGGAGAATGGCATGAACCCGGGAGGCGGAGCTTGCAGTGAGCCGAGATCGTGCCACTGCACTCCAGCCTGGGCGACAGAGCAAGACTCTGTCTCAAAAAAAAAAAAAAAAAAATCAGAGCAAATCTGCACAGCCTGCCTTCCTCTCCCCGTGAACATTCTTGAAGCTCTGTACGTCAGCTGAAACACCCCCGTTTCCTACGCTGGACAACCACAACAACCTCTGAATGAAGGACAGGTGAACTCGCAGACATGCCAGGTCAGAAAAAGGGGTAAAGCCAATAAATCAGAACAAATGTCACCCTGTGAGCCAGAGACACGATACCTCAGGAAGCAGAAGTGTACTTTAAGATGTGTTCTCCTTATACTCCAAGAAGGCATAAACATATCAGCAAAAGCAGGCAGCAATCAGCAATAGGGAAAGATTTCTTGGAGAAAGTCATTGCTAAGGTTTAAAACACCAGGGAGGCAGGAATGGTAGACTGCATATGGCAGAAAAGCAAACAGGAGGAGGAAAGCTACTGTACCCTCTGTTTGTTTCTTGAACTAAAATACAAGCTCCTCAACTGCATCTCAAGCCTGGTGGGGACAATGAATGATTCTCATGATTGCTCTGCAATTGTGACAGTTTTCACCTACTAAGCGGCTCACTAGAATGTTCTAAACCAGTGACTATACCCTGGTGGCTGGTGGGCCTGTGGAGGAGTTTTACTTGGCTAAAACAGTAAATTTTTTAACAGCTTACTGAGATATAGTTCATCCACCATACAATTCACCTATTTATACAATTCAATGATTTTTAGTATATTCACAGAGTTGTATAACCATCACCACACACTCAGTTTTAGAACATTTTAATCACCCCCAAAAGAAACCATGTATCCATTCCAGTCACTCCCCCTACTCTGCCCATTCCACCCGCCCACCCCTCCACCCAACTCTCTGGCAACCACGAATCTATTTTTCGTGTCTATAGATTTGCCTAGTCTGGACATTTCATATAAATGGAAGCACACCCTATGTGCCTTTTGTGACTGGTTTCTTCCACTTAGCAAGATGTGTTCTGGTTCATCCATGTTGTAGCATGTGCCAGTATTTCATTCTTTTCAAGGCCAAATAATATTCCACGGCACAGGCATATTTTATTTATCCATTCATTAGTCAATGGACATTCGGGTGGTATCCACAGTTCGGCTTTCATGAATAATGCTGCTACAAGCATTTGTGTACAAGTTTCTGTGTGGACATATGTCTTCATTTCTCTTGGGAATATACCTGGGAGTAGGACTGCTGGGTCATATGGTAACTCTATGTTTAATATTTGAGGAAGTGCCAAACTCCAGAACAGTATTTTTTTAATGTGAATCTGAATGCTTTTAAACGCATAGCAACTCTCTCAGACCACCACAGACCCTAGATCCAGACACATAACACAGGTTCCTTAGGGTTTACTATCAGCCCACTTTAAGCCTATAAGTCTGCCAGTCAATCACACACAACAAAAACATGTTTTCAGGACAGAAATAAACTTTTCTAGAGAAAGTAATGCTCAAAATTACAAAATTCTATCATAACAAAGCTAGCCATAAGTCCCTAGGATTTCACAATAATAAACTGAACTAAACCCGCTGAGCATGAATTCTATTTCCTCAGCTGTCTCAGTGCAAGAGATCAATTTAGGCTTGCAAAATGAAAACCTACACATTTAGACAAAGTTTTCTTTTACAGTAAGATTTAAATTGACATTCAAAAAGAGCATTCTTACCTCTTGTTCCTCAAAAATGGGCTGATATTTCTCAAGTGATAATTTCTTAAGGATTCCGGTCAGTTCATCTTTAAGAGGGAAAGGAAAAAAAAAATTTTAGAATTTGGTAAAATGTTATCAAAAAAGTGGTCTTCAAACTTCTATAAAGTAGTGGTAATCTTATTTCAAATGAAATTCTATAAGAAACCCCAACACAGAAAGCTGATCTCAGCTGGGCTCCTGCAGATGAGGCTGGAGATGGGTCCTGAGCCATCTGCACCCTCTTCCCCTCAAGGTAGGTCCTCAGCAATTGACAAAACCCCACGTCAGGCTGCAAAGACACAGAGAGTCTGGGCCAGGACTGACTGATTCCCTCCAGAATGCGACCCTCAAGTTCTGGGAGTTGCAGCTGCCAGAACTAAAACTCTGCCTTCTGTGCGAGAAGGCACCGTAAATGCCAATGCCTGCAGTAAATGCCAATGCCAGCAAGTCCTCAGCTAGTGTGAGGAAGAACTTAAGAAAGAAGGTGGTGGGCTTCAGAGCAGAGCCAGGGTTTGGCTCAAGTGTGCAGAGGCTGTGGCCTTCCTGAAGGAAAAAGGCATCTATGTGGAACAGCAGAGCCAGAAGGGCAAAAGAGGATGATTTGGGGTGTCAGAACAGGGAGAATAAAGAAAAGGAGACAAAACCAGCACCTGAGGGGCTTGGAGAAATAATTCACTCACACATTCAAACGTGATTTGCCAAACTAGGCACTGGGGACTCAACAGATACCAAAACAGACAATAAGAAGGCTGATAGGGGCCGGGCAGGTGGTGCATGCCTGTAATCCCAGGGCTTTGGGAGGCCGAGGGTGAAGGATCACTTGAGCTCACAAGTTCAAAACCAGGCCTGGCACTACAATGAGATTTCATCTCTACAAAAAATTTAAAAGTCATTAGCTGGGTGGTGTGATGTGTGTGCCTGTAGTCCCAGTGACTCAGGAAGCTGAAGCAGGAGGATCACTTGTGCCCAGGAGTTTGAGGCCACAGTGAGCTGCAATTATGCCACTATGCCATTGCACTCTAGCCTGGGCTATGAAGCAAGACCCTGTCTCAAACAAACAAACAAAGGCTGACAGGCAAGACAGCAAGGAAGAAGAGAGCAGCATTAAGGTAGATGACAGCATTTCCAGTTTTACAAACGCTGTTTTACAGAGGATGGTCATGGAAAGACTCTCTTATAAGGCGACCTATGAGCAGTAAATGAAGGAGTGAGTTATGCAGATATCTGGAGCAAGAGCATTAGGCAGCATCCAGACAGGGAAGAGCAGGTGCAAAGGTCCTGAGGCAGTGGATGCGACTTAAATAAGTGATCAGGAGGCTTGGGTTCCTTCTTAACTCACCTTCCTTCCCTCCCTCCCTCCCCTCCTCCCCTACTTCCCTTCCTTCCTTCCAGCAGTGACTACCACTGTGCCCAATGGACACTGGGTAGCAAGGATGGAGAGGTCCCTGTTGTGAAGCTCAGTGTGGCTGGGAGGATAGGATGAGGAGGGTGAAAGCTAATACACAGTGCTATCAGTCAGCCTGTACATGGATGAACCACTTGCTCTTTACAACACCAATGAGGTAGATCCTATTACTGTCCCCATTCACAGATGAGGAACTGAGGCACAGAAAGGCTCGATACCACATCTTGGGTGAGGTCATCTTGCTAGACTGTGGCAGAGCAGGGAATCAAGCCCAGTGGTCTAGCTACTAGGCCTGTGCTAGGCACCTGCTCTCCACTTTTCTCATGGGTGGTGCATGCTACGGTGAAGAGCAAGAATAGGGCGAGGTGGGGACAGCGAGGACAGCTGACCCAGCCCAAGGGACTAGGGAAAGCTTCACAGTAGAAAGGCTACTGAGCGAGGACGTATGAGACAAATCAAATCCCAATCTACACATAATCTGTTGTATTTCATGACACCAAACCTTTGCTCTTGCCATTCCCTACACATGCAGCCTTGGTCCACAGTGGTGTGCTGGTAAATGCTTAACAACTGGTTCTCAGGGGAAGATGTATGCATGTATACAGGCACATAAATCTATTGCAGATTTTACTAATAAAAATGATTTATGGCACACGATTTACAAATAATAAAACATATAATATTCTTTCTTATAAATTCCATATAGCCAATTGATTCTCACCAAATACTTTCATTTGTTTTTGCCCTACTCTTGTACCCACAGCCAAGGAATATGGTTCCAACATGAAAGCTGGCTGAGAGTTTTGTTTACATGAACAAGAAAGATAAAAAGAAACAACAAAGACAATGTTGGAACTTCAGGTGAGCAACCTGGCTGAATCAGATAACGATTTTCAAATACTGGAAGAATATTTTCTCAATTTTTTGTGCGATTCACAAGATGACAGTTACAGACACAACATACTTTTAGGTTTAATCCTCACTGTTAACATTTTTCCATCACTGCCTAGATTACAAGTAGACAATATCTATAAGACAACAAACCAAGCCCTGGATTGCTTGCGACCAGGGAGGTTTAGGCTGCAGTCAGCTGTGATCGTGCCACTGTACCCCAGCCTGGGTGACAGAGTAAGACCCTGTCGCAAAACAAAAAGCAAGCCCTGATTGATGGCGTTTGCCAATTTCCATGGTGTGAATACCCCCATTATAGCCAATTTCAACCTACCAATCTAATGTCCCTGAGAGTGAAGCTGAGCAGAGATGCGCAGTAGGAACACATCATTATGGGGTATTCACATTGCAGATATGAGATATACACAAGTTCAAGAGCACAGATAACAAAATATACAAAAATGAGTAAAAAATACATTTTAAGTACAATATACTATTTCTATAATTTAGTTAATTCTAAGTTCATGTGATTTGTAAATAATGGTTGTGTTTAACAACCAGCTTGGGCATTTCCTACAAACTGAACAGTCAGCTCTGGCACCCCACTGCCTGTCTCTTCCCAGCGTCGTGGTCCAGCTGGAGTGCCCGTTTGCCAGGGGAGCCTTCCATGGCACATGGTGCTGATAGCAGATATGACCTCACCTTGTGTTATACTCTAATGTCATTATGTTGAATGTGTCTGTCTCTCTGTGAGTTCCCCTGGGTGCACAGGTTAGGGCACCCAGGGGACTGCCCAATAAAACCTCCTGGAACTAATGTGAGGCTGAGAAGGTGATGCTGTCACAAGCCTTGCTGCTTCTAACAGGTGGAGTACAGAGAGGAGGAATGCAGATGGAGAGATGAGGCGGGGCAAAGCTCACATGTGTCCTTGACTGGGACCACATATTTCCCAGAATATCATAAAAATAGCTAGATGGATTGCAGCCCCTGGCCTATAACAATCATATACCCACAGGACAAACAGCTTGTGGCCTCAAGACCCAGGAACTCTCAATGGGAAAACTAAGCTTTCTGAACCAGAGAAATTATTCTACAAGTAAAGTGCTATTGGCCCTCTTCTTTCTTCATCCCAATTAGGACTTTGCAAACCATTTTTAATAATGAACAAGAGGGAAAGAGAGTGGGTATGGGCAGTCCATACAGACATCCACTGTCTCCACTGTTTTTGGAAAACAATGGGGCATAAATACCTAACTGAATCTCCAGGGGTTTCAATTCCTGAAAACCTCAGAGGTGGGAGAATTCACGAGTTTGGAACTCAAGACTCCACACAGAAAATACGGTTGGGGAGGAATGAGTTTGCTGGTGAACCTCTGAGGCCTTGATAAATGATCACACTGGATATCACAAAACAATAAAAGTAGCCCCCAAATAAGTAGGATACCAGTGGCAGCACGCATTTATCAACTTAGTACAGACTAGAGCCTGTGCAGGTGATTCCAACTTATCTTGCTCAGCAGAACCTGCTCAGCACCCTCCTCCTCAGCAGCTGCAGCAAGCTGCCCACAAATGCATTTGTGAGGGCCACATACACAACCAGATTTTTCTCCCCGCTGATTTATATTCCTCGATTTGCACCTGCCTGGGCCCCAGGTGTCACCAAAGCTCCCTTCCTCTTTCCCCTCTCCCAGCTCCTAGGGGCCACTAGACGGCAGTTTAAAAGGATGAGATTCCTGTCTTCATCTGCCTTTATCTTTCCTGGGGCCTGACTGCAAAGCCTCTGCTCCTGCCCTACCACCCACTCCATCTTCCCTCATCATTCCTGCATGGGGGCTGCAGAGGCTGTAATTCACAAGGCAGGTTCCAAGGCTCTCCTGGCTGCAGCAGACATCAACCGCTTTTGCTTGCCCTCACCCATCCCCCTCCTCCTGGAAACAGTATTTCCAAATTTTCCTTTGAGGAACTATTTCTCTCCCACTTCCAAAACCAAATGTCAGCAGGCTGGACCCCAACTCCGCTCCAAAGCAGACAACTGACCCAAGGGGCATGGCCAATCAACACATTCCACCCCTGTGGACACAGAGATAGTCAAGGATGGGCAACTGACCCAGGTCATTATAAATACAGCCAAGCCAATGGCCTTACTTGGGATTTTGCTGGACCTACTGAGAAAGTAGCACTCTTTCTGCTGGCGTTGAAAAATTAGTATGAAGACAAAACTATGCCTGAAGCTGCTTGCCACCGCTTGGAGAGAGCCTTCGTGAGACCTGGAAACATTCCCAAAGCACCTGGATTCACGCATGGCTGAAGCACACCCTAGACACTCCCATCATATGAGCCAATGAAATGTCAGGTTTCATTTTTTTTCCTTGAACCAGTGTGAATGGAGTTTCTCTCACTTCCCACTGAAAGAATCCTGACTGCTACAGGGTCCAGGGAAAGTAAGTTCGTGTTGGAGAAGCATTTCCACAGGTGTATGTTTGTGCATATAAACAAAACTCACCTATACTCAAAAACTCTGAGGGAGCGTACCATACCTTTGCACAGCGAAGACAAAAATACAAGGCAGAATCAGAGAAAAGGAGGGACGTGTTTGTTGTAAATTTTCTTAAAACCTGACCTAGGATGGTTATAACCATTAAGGTCACCTTGCAGTTCCTTCCTGCCAGGTCATCATGGTGAGAGGACTAGGTGGGGTTTCAAGCCCTCAGGGGACTCACCTTCATCTGTGATGGTGCCACTGCTGGAGCCCCCACTGCTCTTGGACTGCCGATGGGATGAGGAGGAAGACACTGAGGATTCTGCAGTGTGCCCTTTGGGTGAGGGGGACGGCGTGAGGGTTGGAGAGGTACTCTTGGAGGTAGTGGAAGTTCCAGATGGAGGCCTTTTGCTGGTCTCCAATTTCTGCTGAACAGAGTAAGACAAATATATAAGCCATCGCCTGTAGGGTAGAAAAGATGAAAACAGACACCCACAACAAGGAACATGGGCGGTATCTGACTCAACACAATGTTTAACCGGGGCTATGAAATCTACTTTTAAAAACATGCAAAGCAGAAACAGCATTATCAGAACAATTAAGAGGAAAATCCAACCCTGGAGCAGAGACAGGATGAGATCAAATAGCTGCATGTCATGAGTCAGGAAACCCCGTCCCAGTCTTGCCCTCCAGCTACTTGCATTGTGTCTTTGGCCAAGTCCCCTGAGCTCTCTGGGCCTCAGTTAACCAGTTGCAAAATCAAAGTGTGGCTGACCGAGGCACAAAGTCTCTTTCTGTTCTTGATGCTCCTTCATCTACACCAGTCACTTCCAAGCTTTTCACCAAAGAACACATATTCTTCCCTTTTTCTCATTGGTTAGCTTTACAACAAAGGCTTTTTACATTAAAATAATTCTAGACATATAGAAGAGCTGCACAGATAGAATAGCGTTCCCATATACCCCTCACACAGCTTCCTGATATTAACATCTACATCATCACAGTATAATGATCAAAACTAAGCAGCTGACATTGACACAACACTATTAACTAAACTACAGACTTCATTGTGTTTCATTGGCTGTTCTTCTCATGTCCTTATGCTGGTCTGAGATCCGATCCAGGACCCCATGCTGCATGGAGCTGTGCTGTATCTCCGCAGGCTCCTCTGACCTGTGACAGCACTGTCTCTCCTTGTCTTTCATGACCCTGACATTTTTGAAGTCTTGGTCAGGTATTTTGAAGAATGCACATCATTTTGGGATTGTCTTATGTTTTCCCATAATTAGATGTGCTTGTGAATGTAGGGGGCAATGACCACAGAGGTGATACGCCCATTCAGTGCATCGTTATGCAGAGAGGACATAGTATCTGATTACTGGCGATGATAACCTTCATCACTTACATGAGGGGATGTCTGCCAGATTTCTCCATTATAAAGTCATTGTTTTTCTTTTTAATATTATTTGGGCCGGGCGCGGTGGCTCACGCCTGTAATCCCAACACTTTGGGAGGCCAAGGCAGGCAGATCACAACATCAGGAGTTCAAGGCCAGCCTAGCCAATATGGTGAAACCCCATCCCTACTAAAAAATACAAAAATTAGACAGGCGTAGTGGTGGGCACCTGTAGTCCCAGCTACTTGGGAGGCTGAGGCAGGAGAATCACTTGAACCTGGGAGGCAGAGGTTGCAGTGAGCTGAGATCGTACCACTGCACTCCAGCCTGGGTGACAAAGTGAGACTCTGTCTCAAAAAATAAATAAATAAATAAAAATAAAAAATTAAATATTATTTGGGAGAAGATTTTTTGGGTAACTATTTATTAAGGTTCTGTCCATTAATTTTGCATTCATTGGCGAGTCTCACTGAGGCAAGTGTTACAGTGGTGTTCCCACGGTGATTTTCTATTGCCCTCCTTCCTTCCACATTTATTATCTGTAATACTTCTATAAGGAAGAGTTGTTCTTTCTCTCCCATTTATTTGCTCAATCATTTATTCCTATCAGTATGGGCTCATGGGTATTTTTTATGCTCTGGGCCATAATCCAATATTACTGTTATTTTGTAGCTCATTATTACAGCTTTGGCCATTGGGAGATCTTTTGGGTTGGCTCCTGTATCCTTCTGACGTGTCATCTTTCTTTCTTTTTAAAAGTATTTCCCTACTTTCTGACACCACAAAATACTTTAAGCTCATCTTATATTTCTGTTGACCCAGTACTAGAATAAACCACTTCTCCAAAGCTTTCCAAGGTCCCTTTTATTAGAGAATGGTATTTAGAAACCAAAATCTGGGCACTAGGTTGCTCACTGGTACTGGGACATCACTGTTTCTAGGTCCTCAAAGTGGACAAAGACACATACACACTAACCCTTGTATACACACATAGCCATATCTACTTTTATATCTACTAACTTTGTGTGTATGCAACTCTCTGTGTATTTAAAAGCATGCACTCATACTGATTCATACCGATATCTCTGACTTCAATCCAACATCCATAGGTTTTGTTCTAGCATTCCTCCTTTGATTCTGTCTCTGACAGTAAAAACTTTGCTACTTATTTATTCAATCCTGGTATACATGTTAAGTGTACATGTATGCAAAAAAAATTTTTAGCCCATATCCTGGTAAGGATAGCAGAACTGTTAGCCCATATGCTAGTAAGAAAAAAAATATCAACTAGAGTACAGTACTTGTATGCAGCATTTTTTGTCTTTAGCCTAATATCCACTCAACACATGATTTTCTCCTCCACCTCCTACAATGTGGTTAGGTCATTCATTTGTAATACACTTAGACCTTTTGTCATAGTTTGCATTATTTCTTTGGTTCATGGTTGATTTTGTTTTTTTTTTTTTTTAATTTGCATATAGTAAAAAAATTAGCTCTGCTGCATACAATTCCATGGGATCTGACAAACATGGTGTTATGCATCCACCAAGAGAGTACGACACAGAAGAGTTCCATCATCCTCTGAATGTCCTTAAGCGGTCCTTTTCTAGCTAATCCCTCCTCCTAACCCCAAGCCATAAAAACAAACACTCTATGTTCCATCCTGTGACTAGAGAGGAAAAAAATAAACTATTTTTCCTCTGTTCTTACCCCACAACAATCAACACAGAATGTGTCTGTGACCAAACGTATGGAGCTTTCTTCCCCTACACACCAACCAAGCAATCAGTTCTGCAGCGGACACCAGCTGAGTATCCTCCAATTCAAGTCTGACACAATCTATCCGAATACTGAGGGCTCAGTCCCAGGAGACTGCCCCCACTTCAGATGCCAACTGCAAGCCCCAGATTGCTTTACCTGTGCTTTTGACTGGCTATAAATCAGAGTTCCCACAACTCCCTCTTTGGGTTTGAATAATTGGCTAGTGGCTCATAGAACTCAGGGCAACACTTACTTACATTTACAGGTTTATATGGAATATTATTCAGCCATGAAAAGGATGAAATCCTGTCATTCAAAGTGTTTTTGACTGGCTATAAATCAGAGTTCCCACAACTCCCTCCTTGGGTTTGACTAAGTGGCTAGTGGCTCACAGAAATCAGGGAAACACTTACTTACATTTACTGGTTTATATGGAATATTATTCATCCATAAAAAGGATGAAATCCTATCATTTCAAAGCAACATGGATGGAACTGGAGGACATTATGTTAAGTGAAATAAGCCAAGAATGGAAAGTGAAACACCACATACTCTAACTCATATGTGGAAGCTTAAAAAGATGATCAATGAAAGTAAAAAGTAGAACAGAGGATACTAGAAGGTGGGAAGGGAGGGACAGGAAGAGATTTGTTAAAAGAATACAAAATTATAGCTAGATAGGAGGAATAAGTTCTAGTGCTCTATACCACTGTAGGATGACTACCGTTAACAATAATACACAGTTTCAAAAAGCTAGAAAGAGGATATTGAATGTTCCCAGCACAAATAAATAATAAGTGTCTGAGATGATGGATATATAATTACTCAGATCTGATCACTATATATTATATGTATCTACATATCACTATGTACCCCGTAAATATGTACAATTATTATGTGTCAATGAAAAAAGTAAAAATTTAAAGATATTTCCAGGATATAAATAAATAAATGTATAGGGCAAGGCATGGAGGAAGGTAGAAGGAGCTCCCACGCTCTTCCTGGGCATACTACCCTCCAGGAGTCTCCAGGTGTTCAGCTGTTTGGCTCTCTGAACCCAGTCCTTTTCAGGTTTTCATGAGAGCCTCATTACGGAGGCACAACTAATTAAATCATTGGCCACTGATTATCAACTAAACCTTCAAACCCTCTCCCTCTCCCCAGAGGTTGTGGGGTAGAGTGAAAGGCTCAATGCTCTAATCCTGCCTTGGTCTTTCCTGTGACTGGTTGCCATCCTGAAGCTACTTAGGGGCTGCCAGCCATCAGTAAATTCATTAGCACACAAAATGACATCACTTTGGAGATTCTAAGGATTCAGGAATTGTATGACAGGAAACTGGATGAAGACCAAATACACATTTCACAGTTACCACACATCCCTACAGTGTTGCTGTTTCCAGAATGTCATATAAATGGAATCACACAATTTGTAGACTTTTGGGTCCGTCTTCTTTCACTCAGCATAATGCCTTTAGGATTCACTCAAGCAATCGCATGTATCAACAGTGTGTCCCTTTGTGATGCTGTGTTGTGTTCTATTGAATGAATGTACTACAATTAGTTTATCTATTCACCTGTTGAAGAACATTTGGGACGTTTCCAGTTTGGGGTGATTACTTTGTAAAACGAATACAAAGATTCACAGATTTTTGCATGAGGAGAAATTTTTTAAAAATCTACCTAGTAGTCAGCAGTTAGCTGGGTCACATCACAAGTGAATGTTTAGTTTTATAAGAAACTGTCTATCTTTTTCAAGATGGCTGTACCATTTTGCATTCCTATTAGCAATTAATGGGAGTTCCAGTAGTTCCACATTTGTCATCAGCAACTGTACCTTTTTAAATCTTAGCCAGTCTAATAAGTATATAGTTCTATCTTAATTATGGTTTTAATTTGCATTATCCTAGTAACTAATGATGGTTAAACATCTTTTCATATGCTTATTTTCCATCTTTATATTTTCTTTGATGAAGTATATGTTCAAGTATTTTGCCCATTTTTACATTTATGTTTTATTGTTGAATTGAGGATTCTTTATTTAGTCTGGAAAAAAAGACTTGTTTGTTTTTTATACAGATAGGGCCTCACTCTGTAGCCCAGGCTGGAATGCAGTGGCAACATCATAGCTCACTGCAGCCTTGAACTCTCGGGCTTAAGCAATATTCCCACCTCCACCTCCCGAGTAGTTGGGACCACAGGCATGAGCCACTGCACCTGGTTCCTGGATAAAAAACTTTTTCCAGAACTATGATTTGAAAATACTCTCTCCTA